AGTCGGAGCCTTTTCCGCTTTCTCATTGGCCAACCGCTCTGTCCGTCTATTCAACGGAACTGGGAGTGACAGAGCGAGAGGCAGGGCGGTAAGGCGTGCTCTGATTGGTCAAAGGGCCCCAGTGAAGGCCGGCTGATTGGGCAACGAGATCGCTGACGGCATAGGGGGTGGGGCAAAAGGAGGGGAGCGAGTTTTCATTGGCGGAGACGCCGCGTGGCGAAAAGAGCGGGAACACGAGTTCATTCAAACCGGGGGAGGTGGGCGGGGCCTCGCCACGGCGGCGGGGCGGGCCCGAGGTGGGCCTGAGGTGAGTCCGGCAGAACCGGGGGGAACCGGGGGGAACTGAGGACAACGGGGGGAAACTGGGAGGGAGGCGGGGAAAACCAGCGAGAACCCCGAGGTGAGCCGAGCGGAACCGGAAAGGATTTGGGGGGAACCGGGAGGAGTCTAGGGTAGCCGGGCCCCCGCGCCTCCGTGGGCAGGGGCGGGGAGAATGGCGGGATGGGTCAGGTTGAAGGGAGCACGGTGAGTCCTGTGCTCCCAGCTTCCTGCTCAAGCAGGATTGCCCCAGAGCAGTTTCACAGCATTGCAGCCAGATGTTTCTGGAGTATTGCCAGTGAGGGAAACTCCGCACCTGCTCTGGGCAATGTTCCAGTGTATGATCACCCAACAGTAAAGAAATTATTCCTCATATCCGAGTGGAATTTCTCATGTATCATTTTCTGCCCCTTGGCTCTTGTCCTGTGGCTGGGCTCCACCCAGCAGAGCCCAGTCCATCCTCTGAAGCCTCTCTCCAAACAGGGACAGTGCTGATGGGGTCCCCTCTCAGTCGTCTCTTCTCCAGGCTGAACAGGCTCAATTCCCTCAGTCTTTCCTCGTAAAAGAAGCTGAGATCCATCCCTCGGTTGTTCCATCCCTCGGTTGTTCCATCCCTCTGCTCCCCCTTGGCTTCTTGGCAGCTTCTCTTCAAGTCATCTCTCTCCCCAGGCATGGCTCCTTGTGTTTGTGTCACACACACACACAAACAGGAGCCCCATGTCTGTGTCACACACACAAACAAACAGGAGCCCTGTGTCTGTGTCACACACACACACACAAACAGGAGCCCCGTGTCTGTGTCACACACACACACAAACAGGAGCCCCGTGTCTGTGTCACACACACACACAAACAGGAGCCCCGTGTCTGTGTCACACACACACAAACAGGAGCCCCGTGTCTGTGTCACACACACA